TAGTCCTGTGTTGGATGTGATTGGTATGTTCCATAGGCAGTTGCAACTGGCCTGGGAGCCTGCACTGTGGGAGCATAAGATGGCATCACAGTATGCGCTACACCAGAAGCTTGTTGAACAGTGTAGCTTGCCACAGTTGTTGGATGGGAATAAGTACTTGGCGGGTGGAAATAAGCAGGTTGAGTGCTGCAAGACAAGACAAACAATTTAAAGTCTACAGAAGCACAATGTTTTTAAAGTGGGCCAACATTTCATAAGCAAAATCTGACATTTTCATCTCATCAATCGATCTAGTACACATTACGTAAGTATCCTTTGATTAACACTGAAATAAAGTCAATGCTGAAACTCAAACAATACTATGATTCATAAAACTGGAATTCATATAAAGACAGGAAGGATGTGAAGTAGGAGGACACCAAGAAAACAACATATTTGTGTACAATCACATATCATTATCAACCAGCAACTTTACTGGGGTAAAGTGGAGATTTTTAACTTCCCCGATTTTAGAAAATTAATTCCCATGGTTTGATCCAGGAACAAGTCACTTTGAACCCTTTCTTCCAAAACAACAAATAGTCTGGTAGCACTTTAAAGACTAACAAAACATGTAGCTGCTATCATGAGCTTTCCTGGGCACAGCCCACTTCTTTAGATGACCCGAGTGGATATCCAGAGCCAAAAATTAATAGGGAAGAGGAGGAGGGGGAAAGAGGAAAAAAATGGGAGGGGAAAAAAAAGAGGCAGTGGGTATATAAATATCAAAGGGAAAGCCGAGCTAGTATGTAACAGGCAAAACTGAGAGTCTCTAAGCACCTAAAGACTGGATAGTGCTCTTCCTCTCTAATTCCTAACTAATGGTTCTTATCTCCGTCTTTTAACTATCCAGTCTTTAGGTGCTTATAGACTACCAGTTTTGCCTGTTATAGCACCTCCTGCCCCCTGAAAGATACATAAGTGGAAATAGGCCCCACAGTCACAGGTCCTTCCTTCAGCCAATCTCTGCTCCCTGGTCTTCTAAATTGCCATTTTGGTTCTAACCAGGAGGAGGTTGATGAAGAGGTCCAGCGACTTTGTGGGGCCATGGATGGGTGTGCGTAAATTAATAGGTGAGGGAGAAGTGCAGCTAGAACCTCAAAAAGAGGCTCTAGAGGAGCCAAAAGAGGGGCTGTAACCTGGCACTCTCGAGATAACCATGCACCTCATTCCACAAATGGGGTAAGTGTCAGAAACAGGGATGAACCGTGCCAAGTACACGCCCATGCTCATAGCACTGTGGAGGATTCTCCCGCTGTTGTCACCAGCGGGTCGCAGAATCAAAGTGCAGTAGAGACTGGCTCAGCAGGGCTCTCCACCCTGTACTGGTGGTAAGAGGGTGGCTGGGTGGGACACGAGGGTGGGGAAGTGAAGAGTGTGAAGCACTAGTGTGTGCAGATGACTCTTTGGTGAGTTTCAAAAGGGGACCCAGCTACAATGTGTGCAGCCCGCTCAGATGATTAGGGGAGGGTGGTTGGGAAGGCACATGGGGCTGGGGGCCAATGGAGAGATCAGGAGGGCCAGGAGTGAGGGGCAGGCGGGGTGCCACCCTCTCACAGGACCCTGTCGAGATAAGGGATGCTTTGCTGCCTGCTGCTGAGGTTTGTCTCCTGAAGTACATGCCGGGGAGAGTACGCAGGGTGGAGAACCCCATGTGCTGGCAAAGTGTCGGAGGATGCACCCGGTCTACCCAGTCATAGTCCAGGAGGTCTCAGATCCTAGTGACTTCTGCCAGGACCAATCTCTGGCACACTAAGGGAAACTCCGCCACCCGAACACAAAGATGGGGATTGTGTAGCAGGGGCTCCATCTACCCCTACGGTGGATGCCTAGGTCCTGGTCGCTGAAAGCAACTTCCAGGTCAGGAGGAGGTCCTGGTAGAAGGCCAGCAGCTCAAAGAGATCTTGCAGACCTCTCAAATAAAGGAGCTGCTGGTCATGTTGGAACCCTTGGAAGCAGCGAAGGAAAGCACGCACCAGAGTGCTCCACGTGGGACTATCTGCATCATATAGGAGCCTCTGCAGGGCCTGGATTTGGGAAGACACAGACCTGCATATGCAAACACGTCAGACCCTGTCCTCCCTCCTCCAGGAGAGGATGGAGAACTCCTGCAGAGACCCAATGCAGTCCTGACCAGAAGAACCACAGCATCAGCTGCTGGATCTGAGCCAGGGAACATGGGGTCGAGACCAGAATGTTGAGATGGTGTCAGAGCATGGACAGGACCAGCTAGTTAAGCACCAGCACCCTCCCAAGCAGTGAGAGGCACTAGAGCAGTCCTGTCCATCTCCGCAACCACTCAACCACCTTGGACTCTAAACCTTGCCAGTTCTCTGGTGGGAAGAGATGTGTGGTAGAAAGGAAAACATCAAGATAGAGCAGCAGAACCACAGTCCACCGGATGGCCTGAAGCGCAGGTGGGAGGGAGCGCGCATACCACCTGGTCCTGACCACCAGGCCAGAGCTCTTGACCCAGTTGACCCAGGCGGAGGAGACCCGTAAATTACTTTGAAGGACTCCACCCGCACCAGATGACCTGGGTCCTGGTCCACAAGAAGCACATTATCAGAGTACAGTGACAGGACCAGCTGCATCTCCAGCTCACAGAGAACCAACCCTGCCAATCTCTTGAGAAGAAGACGGAGGAAGGGCTCGATGACCAGAGCATACAACTGACCAGACAACAGACAGCCTCGACGTACTCCCTGCCTGAAGCTGACCAGTACGGTTAGGGTCTAGTTGAATTTCACCAAGCATTCTACAGAAGTGTACAGCACCTGGAGAACCGCCCCCCCCCCAGTGGGGCCCAAAGCCAAAGGCCCACAGAGTGCCCAGCAGGTAGCTGTGGTCCATCCGGTTGAAAGACAGACCATCCCTACACCCGAGCTCTATGAGATCCCAGACCAGACAGAAATTATCGAAGATGGTACAGTCCAGGATGGTGGAGGTCTGCTCTGGATGGACCGTGTCTGCCAGCACGGACCCCAGTCTCAGTGAGATAGCCTTGGCAGTGATTTTATAGTCCATGCTGAGGAGCAAGATGGGACGCCAGTTCCTCAGATCACGCAGGCCCCCCTTCTTAGGTAACAAAGTGAGCACTTCTCGCCTTCACGATAAAGGGAGGACCCCGCTCTCCAAAGACTCAGCTCAGATGCTGGCAAGATCCGGGCTGAGGACATCACAGAATCATAGGACTGGAAATGATCTCAGGAGGTCATTAAGTCCAGCCCTCTGCCCAAAGCAGGACCAATCCCAACTAAATCATCCCAGCCAGGGCTTTGTCAAGCTAGGCCTTAAAAACCTCTAGGGATGGAGATTCCACCCCCTCCACATGTAACACATTCCAGTACTTCACCACCCCCTAGTGAATTTTTTTCCTAATATCCAACCTAGACTTCCCCCAGAATACGTGGTAGAACTCCATAGTCAGCCTATCCATGCCCGGGGACTTATTGGTGGGCATGAGACAGAGGGTTTCCAAGAACTCAGTCAGAGAGAGAGGCAGCTCTAGCCAGCCCTGGTTGCCTGTGCAGACTGTTGGATGCGAGAATGAACAAAGGTGCCCTGGGCCCGAAAGTTATCAAGGGCCCGGAGTTCCTCCCGCCTCTCCCAGTACATTCCGCAGAGGGGTGGATCTCGAGGGCAGGTGGCAAGATGCCTCTCTAGCTCTAAAACCTCCTGTTCCAACTGCTCTATCACTGCATTCCGCCACCAACTGGCCTCCTGGGTTTAGTTGCAGCAAAAGAGTGCGCACCTTTCCCACATCCCACCACCGCTTTGCGGAGGGAAAGGCACACCGCTGCCCATGCCAGGCCAGACGGAACTCCTAGAAGGACATTACAAAGCCCACGTCCCCCAACAAGCTATTGTTGAAATGCTAGTAGGCCCTCCAAGGAGAGAGAGGCCACCACGGCTACTAAGCAGTGGTCCGAGAACAGGGCCAGCCGAATGCTGGAGGAGTGGGCCCGAGAAAGATGACAAGAAAGATTAATGCAGTCCAATCGGGATTGAAATGACTGTTGACCCTCCACCCAGACAAAGGTGAATGCAGTGTCCTCAACAAGGTGGAGGTTGCACCAGACATTCACTAGGGAGTGCTGGTCTATTATTTCCCTGAGGTGGTCCCTGTGTGGTCCCATTCTAAGGGTGCAATTGAAATTCCCACCCAGGACCAGGCACTCAAGAGGATCCAAAGAGCTAAGGAAGGCAGACCCCTGCTGGAAGAAGTGGAGCCTCTCCAGGCTGAACATCGGGGCATAGATGCTGACAAGATTTAATGTCAGCCCCTCCACCCGAACCTGGAGGAGCAGCAGATGACCCTGCACGACCTAGGCAGTCCCCAGCACATCGGGCTGTAGGCTCAAGGAGAACAGGGTCACCACTCCAGCCTAACAGGCCAACAGATGGCTGAAATAGCTCCTGTCTCCCAAATCAAGCTGCCAGTCAGCCTCAGCACCTGGAGCGGTGTGGGTCTCCTACAGGAAAATGACAGAATACCCCTCCTCCTGGCAGACACCCAGCCTACCGCCCTAGGTGTTCAGAGTGGCAAGGATGAAAGGCAGCATTGAGAGGGCTGGGGAAGTTCCTTGCTGGCAGGAGTGCTGGGAGTCCCCACTGGGCCCCACAGTAAACTGACCACACTCAAATGTGAGTACATCATGGAAGCTGCAAGCCCGCTGGTAGGTCACATCCTCCCGTGGCCCAGTCCCTTTACCATCCCCCAAAATGGCCCTTATAGTCTGGAGAATGAAATGGAAGTCTCCCCGGTGCTGAAGGGCAAGAGCCACTTTGTTCTTGGAACCATGGATGCCTTCTAAGAAGTTGCACATTTTGCCCATCAGCGCATCGGACGTTGTGGCCTCAGGCCCCGAACGTCTTTGGGCCAGACTCCCCTGCGAGCCCCATAACCAATCAACATAGGAAAGCAGGGACCCTGAAGTCCC